TTTATTACTTTTTTGGGGGTTGTCGCCTCAAAAAAGGAAAAAATGGAAATCATCGTTGAAAGCCGTTCCAATTAGTTTAGGAGGGAAAGCCCATTCCAACTGAAATTGCCTCCCTAGCAAAATGATATTTTTTTGATCGCTTAAACTTCAAAATTCTTTCTCTGCTTTCTTAAGGGGGCTAGAAGCTGATCAGCTGTGCATTCAATAAGGTATGTTTCTTCACAAGCGGAACTATTCGCATCTAAAGCTTTTTATTTGCACCATAATCATATAAATAGTATAGAAAAAAAATTTCTCGAGGTTCCGTTCATTGGCATTTTTAAGGCTCCCGCCAGAGTGCTGAAGTTATGCCAGCGCTACGCCAGCATTTCGATCGATACACGTGTATTTCGTTGGGGCGGTGCTAGCTCAGCAGGTAGATGTCCCCGACGAAATACACGTGTATCGATCGAAATGCTGGCGTAGCGCTGGCATAACTTCGGCACTCTGGCGGGAGCCTAAATTCTGCGCTTGAGTATTCAATCTTGCTCATCGCAAGAGATGTTTGGAAAAGTAACGTGCTGTAGTCGGGTGAAAAGAAATCGTCATCTTTCTGACGTGTTTTTCAACTAATATGCATTTCTGAAGCTATGAGAGCTACAAAAGGAACTTCAGGCATTAAATTTGATGATGTACAAGTAATACACCTAAACATCACTTAGTATGGTCATTCACAGTTTCTTCCATTCCAATCTCAAACAAATAGCAACCCATGTCGTTTATATGTCCTCCGTGACTACAAGTGGGTAAGAGACTGGGAGTATAGCCTGCGAACGTGAATCGTTTCATAATAGGATTCATCCCAACAATTACAACTGCGAGGTGGCAATTTTCTCAGGATCCTTGTACCGACCCATCCGAGAGCTGTTAGGTTACGAGGACCACCTCCCCCCCCCTCCTCCCCCCCTCCCCCCAATGGCATCATTCTGGGGCTATGTTTGCTTTCTACCCCTCATTTTTGCTGGGCATGTTTCCGACAGAAGAAATGGAATCTGAAGATTTTGATTTTTTCGATAATCCCTGGCTCGCGAGCAGCGGTTCATCGAAGATTTTGATATCTTGAGATTTCACTCATTTCTACCTTAAACATGTTTAGCAGTGCTGTAGTATATCCACAGTACAATTTTGCAGCGTTTTCATTGATCTTTCAGGAAGATAAATGACTTTGAAAATGTGAGATGATCTCCTGGGAATCCCCAGGGGATCAGACGAAATAGTGAATATCTAATCTTGTATGGCAGTAACCTGGCATCCGTTATGCGCAAGTATCAGTGTATGAGAACCTTCAAACCAAGACAGAGAAAGAAAAAGAAAGATACATAGACTAGCGAGATATGACGCTTCTCCTCTCAGATCCCCTCCCCTCCCGCGAGGATGTACGTGCATACGGGCCTAAAATGTCATTGTAGAGGACATACCGGAAAACCACTGCAACTCGAGTAGTCTGCACCGAAAATAGGCAGTCGCGGCAGACGAGTGAATCATACTGTAGATACACCAAGATGATCTACAGTTATAGATCACATAACGATACGAACGGGAGGAAGTCACTGGTTATTGATAAACACTCGTTTTTATTGTTCATCTCATTCTTGGTAGTAATCCAGAGTGCTTCCAAAGCTTTTCTAGCCGAGATCTCTGTTTCATATGCAAGGATTATTGCACTTGACATCGAAGTCTTCTTCACCGTGCTGCGCGTCTCTATGCCTGCCGAGCGCTGAACCCAAATTTCTGCGCCTTTTATCGGCCAAGGTTCTTTCATGCGGATACCCAAAACTCTACCCGCCTCTCCTATGTATATTGGGTCAGGGACATACTATTCGCAGATACGCGGACTAGCTATGGCCAAAGACTGGCGCCAGTCCTCGCTATTTGTTTTATGAGCAAAGTTGAGAGACCGGTGTTAGCTCGCACGCCTCTGATGTACTGCCGCTATATCGACGACTGCTGTGTCATTACATCAACACAGTCCGAAATGGATGAGTGTTTTAAAATCATGAACCAGCAGTCGCAGTACATCAGACTCACACGCGAAAAACCGAACGACGGTTGGCTGCCATATCTTAACGCACAGGTGAATTTATCCAATGGCATTGTTAAGGTAAAATGGTACCGCAAGGAAAGCTCTAAGAACATCTTAATAAACGTCAAGTCCGCACATCCTGCATCGGTAAAACGCGCAGTTATCACCAATATGTACAAGATCGCTATGCAGATGTGCTTAGGGGAGAAAGAACGCTGCGAATCGCGAAATTTGGCTTCTCGAATTGCTTGCAGTAATGGTTACCATGAATTACCTCGTCGTCGACAATCTAGGAATGCTGCCAGCATTCATAGTACCAACAAGCTCCCACTTTGCCTTCCCTTCATCTCAGATAAAATTACCGCGGCGTTTCAGCAATGCATTTTTTGAGCCCAGTTGCAAGATGATGTTGTTCTAGTTAACATCCCCAACGACAATATCAAAAAGCAGCTAGTCCGAAATAGGCTCTACGACCGATACTGTACAACAGAGCAATGCATAGTATGCCCGCACGGTAGAGTTGGGGACTGTGCAAAAGTGGGAGTCGTTTATCAAATCGAATGCCTTGACTGCAAAGCAATATACATAGGAGAGACGGGTAGAGTTTTGGGTATCCGCATGAAAGAACACTTGGCCGATAAAAGGCGCAGAAATTTGGGTTCGGCGCTCGGTAGGCATAGAGACGCGCAGCACGGTGGAGAAGACTTCGATGTCAAGTGCAATATTCTTGCATATGAAACAGAGATCTCGGCTAGAAAAGCTTTGAAAGCATTCTGGATTACTACCAAGAAACCTGAGATGAACAATAAGAACGAGTGTTTATCAATAACTAGTGACTTCCTCCCGTTCGTATCGTTATGTGATCTATAACTGTAGATCATCTTAGTGTATCTACAGTATGATTCACTCGTCTGCCGCGACTACCTATTTTCGGTGCAGACTACTTGAGTTGCAGTGGTTTTCCGCTATGTCCTCTACACTGATTTTAGGCCCGTATGCACGTACATCCCCGCGGGAGGGGAGGGGATCTGAGAGGAGAAGCGTCATATCTCGCTAGTCTATGTATCTTTCTTCTTCTTTCTCTGTCTTGGTTTGAAGGTTCTCATACACTGATACTTGCGCATAACGGATGCCAGGTTACTGCCATACAAGATTAGATATTCACTTTTCGTCTGATCCCCTGGGCATCCCCAGGGGATCATCTCACAATTTCAAAGTCATTTATCTTCCTGAAAGATCAAAGAAAACGCTGCAAAATTGTACTGTGGATATATTACAGCACTGCTAAACATGTTTAAGGTAGAAATGAGTGAAATGTCAAGATATCAAAATCTTCGATGAACCGCTGCTCGCGAGCCAGGGATTATCGAAAAAATCAAAATCTTCAGATTCCATTTCTTCTGTCGGAAACATGCCCAGCAGTATCGTAGTATATCTGCAGTACAATTTTGCAGTGTTTTCATTGATTTTTCAGGAAGATAAATGACTTTGAAAATGTGAGATGATCCCCTGGGGATCCCCAGGGGATCGGAAGAAATAGCGAATATTTAACCTTGTATAGCAGTAACCTGGCATCCATTATGCGCCGGTATAAGGGTACGAGAACCTTTATAAGCACGATAGAGAATAAGGGAGAAAGATATCTAGAGCAGCGAGATATGGCGCTTCCCCTCTCTGATCCCTTCCCCTCCCCGCGTGGATGTACGTGCATACGGGCCTTATTTGGGAGCGAGATTGTGAGAAGGTCGAAAACTAGCAGAGTTGGAGGAAACGCTTGGTGGTCTGGAATTACGGATGACACTTAGAACCATTCAGGCCTCTGAGGAAGACGAGAGGCGTCGAAACGTAAGGCCGTGATTGGAAGAAATAAAGACCACTTCTCAAACCTGTACGGCACAAAAGAAATTTGAACTTACGACACATGCCAAGGTTTCATGAAAACGGGACTTGGAATCTGCTTAGACGCGCTACGCAACCGCCTTTACGTGGTCACTTTTTATGATTAAGTAAAACTTCAACTATCAAGTCACAGGTATACATGCGTGTTTATTAGCCGTATAGACATTCAAAACATATCTGTTCTATTTACATCATTATAATATGTACATGAGAATTCTAAGGGATTCAAAATATCCGATCCTATAAAAAAAATCATTAAGCGACTACTTGATATGATCTTCAAGGAAAGCAAGATCTTTAAGGAAATTTTGCTAAAATCAAAACTTTTCCGAACTTAGCCTATCGGGAGTTGAAAGGAACGTTTTTGCAAAGAAATGTGAAGTTTGATAGTCATAAAGCAATAAGCAGTTGATACAAAACACTAGTGTAGGAAGTAGAGGATTTGTTATGGAACGAGACAATAACAATATTCGAGCCACCAACCAACTGCGAGAATGGACCCATTTTCCTTTCTCCTCGAGAAAAAAAAAATAGAATATTGTCCGATCGATCGCGTAATCCAAAAGATAAAACCGCTCAGAAGGTCCACATCTTTTCATCACTTGCCTCTAAAAAACTAATTTGTTAGTCTTTTCATTATTTCCTCACTCAAATAATGTGTAATCAAGGAATTACGTCACAGTTTTGGAACATAAAATCCAGAATTCTGTTCTAAGGCTAATGAAGATAATCAAAATCATGAAAGTGACAATGTGACGGGAATTCTAGTGAGAATAAATTGAGATTCTAAGGCTAATGAAGATAATCAAAATCATGAAAGTGACAATGTGAAGGGAACTCTAGTGAGAATAAATTGAGATTTTATAATCAAAATCATGAAAGTGACAATGTGACGGGAACTCTAGTGAGAATAAATTGAGATTTATTCGAAGTTGCAAAAGTGAGAAAACTATAATATATAGGATCTTTTACGATATTGGTGAAGACAAACATACTGGGCTAATATCATTCGTTGCTCTGCAGAATGGTCGAATTTTCCTTAACTTCTGTAGCAAATTGGTGGATTTGTACTCCTTGAGCTTATGACATAGTGGATGCTACGTTTCCTATGAGGGTGGAAGGTATTTTGCAAATCCTCTGCGAAAGTGAAAGGTAACGAAAAACCAAAAAACCGCATCTATTTGCATAAGAAGACATCTTGTTCAGACACTATCTTTTTCCCCAGATATCCGAGAATGATTTAAGCGCACAACGTCTCAGGTATGGTACCATTGGAAGACTTCGGTTGTCCGTCTCCCACAATATCAAATGCATTCCTGGTTCTTTTTTACCACTGGCATGCTTTAAAGCCTAGAATCCATGATTTCAAGATCTGTCTAAAGTGAGAAAGCGATGGACGCACCTATGTCAGGCCCTAGTGATCACGAGCAATCCATCAAACAACTTTCGAAGCGGCGCCCTCCCCCGATTCAATCGATGAGTTAGGAGAAATTTGGTAGTAAAGGTGCTCTTGTGGTATCGTCTTTAGATCGGTAGCTCGGAACAACCACTGACGATTGCGTGCCTATAGACGAAACCGACTCGAGCGGTGACGTCGTTGTGGCTTCAGATTTCGATGAAGACGACAGCCAGTAGGTAAGCGAACGCTTCTGTTCCCATGGTGCATCTTTGGAAGAAAGGCATAACTCGAAAACTGTCCCGGGCGAACACACTCCAAAATTGTTATGCAAAATTCACGTTATTGGAGTTCTACTAATTGCTGAACAAGCTGCTTACCTAATTGGTATTTTTACCAGATTCGACCGAGAAGGGGGTTGAGAGACTGATTTTGAAGAAAATTGGCGATTGGATCTAAACAAGAGCTTCCATTAATTACACTACTGCCAATAACCTTCACTCGATTTCGAACCTTTTCAGACGCAGGAAAGCTACGAGGACACAAGCGATGCCAAGCGGTGATATAACAGCAATCACTGCCAGGACCAGCATGGATAGAGGCATGATGGTGTCGTCTCCTAACAACCGCATAAATACCGAAGCCGGATCCGCTGACGGGACGTCTTCGGGCAGCTGTAAAATTCAAATTTTATGGATTTTCCAAAAACGTATTGTGGTGACACAGTTGGTGAGAGTTCTCACAGCAGGGAGCTCACCAATTATACCATGCAGGGACATACTATCTAAGTTGTTTAGTCATTTGTGTAAAATCAACGGGAGGTCAATGCCACCTTTGCAGGTGCGAAGAAGTTTAGATGCGCACAAAGCAAGTTTTGAAGGCAGTGGCCCGGGAAAATTGCAACCGCGCCTTTTTTGTTCCTCCTTGGCCTTCTGGATGAGTTTAGACCATTTTTAAAAGTCAAAAAGTGCCTTTTATGGCGTTCTCCGGCCTTGGAGATTGCTGAGAAGGCTGGAGCGGAGATTCCCGCAGCCGAGTCGCGATTGGTTGCCTGGGACAATCAGCCAATTGCCGCCAAAATGAGTGATGTTACAATTTACTGCAGCCAGTCACTGTTTTTGGCGGGAATCTCCGCTCCGGCCTCCTCTGCAATCTCCAAGCCGGGGAAATGCCATAAAAAGCACTTTTTTGACTTGTCACACAGCTCTGGTCTAAACGCATACAGGAGCTAAGGAGGAGCAGAAAGCGCGCAGTTGCAATTTCCCGAGCCACAGGCTCTTACAAAAATGGGAAAAGATAAGAATGAGAATGCAAAACTACACCGAAATTTTTCCGCTCATCAAAAAACAGGCCCATTGGGACAAAGTGGGAGCGTGAGACGCTAAATCTCATCTGCTATGTTAATGTGCAGCATTATCCCTATGAAAAAATAGGCAAAAGTATTAGAATTCAGCCGGTCCTACAAGCGGATATGCAGCAACAATATTTTGTAAAAATTTTTACATGATTCAATATTAGCTTCTGGACAATTGTTGTGCATATAAAATTATAATTATAGTAAGCTAACCTTTTGCTCAAAGACCGTCACATCTTTTGGATCAGAGCACCATGGACATTTCTCCGTGTGCTTCTGAACAGCCAAAGTGACGTTGAAGCATTTGGCTCGTATCTCAACCAGCTTTTTGCCCATTTCCTCTTCCGGCACAGTAATCGTAGTTGTGACTTGATGTCGTCGACTCCGACCCTACAATTGTTCGCCATCACAATCAAAACATTACCGAAGAAAAAAAGCAGCTGTCCTAGATAATGAAAAATGGCGAATTCGAGCTGTGATTAATAACTACGAGTATCTAACATACAAATGGTCTGTCTTCAAAGACACAGATCGAGGCAGTTTGATCGCAAATTCTTGGGAAACCATAAATTGGGTCAGTTCCGACCACTTGACATGAGACTGCCAGATCCTCTGGGATGCCCTTCACCCAATGGGTAACAAACGGACGTGAAGCATCCTGAAATGTCGAGGTTGCAAGGATCTATAATATTGACCATTAAGAGTACGCTGACATATGTTACCAGCATTTGTGATAAACTTTTCTTTCATTATATCATGTTCTTATCTGCTATTGCGCAGGTTTCACAGATTATACTATTGTAAACCAAGTTCTTGAGGCTCCCGCCAGAGTGCCGAAGTTATGCCAGCGCTACGCCAGCATTTCGATCGATACACGTGTATTTCGTTGGGGCGGGGCTAGCTCAGCAGGTAGATGTCCCCAACGAAATACCGTCTGCACCCCAGAGAGGTTCCCATGTGAACCAGCGTGCGTACGTGGTGCGACGCTGCCTTTCGCTCTTTTTGACACGTTTCTCCTGAGATTTCAACGGAAGTGCCCGAGGTTAACACGTTCAAAAGTGCGAAAGGCAGCGAGATGACGTGGTACCTATGGGAACCTCTCTGGGACGCAGGCGATACACGTGTATCGATCGAAATGCTGGCGTAGCACTGGCATAACTTCGGCACTCTGGCGGGAGCCTGAGACTTGTTAACATGATGATGCAGTATCCCAATAATCCAGTATAATCCCAGTAATCATTTAAAGGCAGTGTCCGGGCAAAAAGTCGATTTTGAGATTTTGTGCTTATCCGGGCCTATTCACTATGCTGAATCCGAAAATCTACATTGGAAAGCGCAAAAACGGCAAAAAAGGACTCTAACGCAGGAGGGAAACCGGAAGTGGGCGGAGTCCTCCCCACTGTGAATTTCGCAGTCCCAGCTTCTGGAGCGATCTTCCTAATTCCTCTAGCGCCATTAGATCTCCACCGGCCAGGTGCGAATGTATGACTTGAAATCGGAACCGAGAAGATCGCTCTGGAAGCTGGGAGCGTGAATTCACAGTGGGGAGGACCCCGCCCACCTGATGATTTCCCTCCCGTGTTAGAGCCGTTTTTCGCCGTTTCCGCGCTCTCCAATGTGCATTTTCGGATTCAGCGTAGCGAATGGGCCCGGGTAACCAAAAAAATCTCATGATCGAGTTTTTGCCCGGACACTGCCTTTAAGCGAGGGCTACAGTATCTCCGCGGCCTTCAGCCGCCAAATGTCCTCACAGGTGTTACCGTAATAAAATGATATTAAAGTCGGCATACAAAAGCTATACAAGTCCATGAAATTCAAATGCGGCAGAAGTTCTGCCGCAGAACAATGCTGGCGAATGCAGTGCGGGACATCGTTAATCACAATTAGACGACGCCATTATGCACAGTAATTGACAGAGTTTGTGGCGGATGGATCAAAAGAGCGCAATGATTGAGAGCTATTCGTTAGGAAGAGGAAACGGAAATGGTTTGGTCACCTGCACAAAATTCTCGGAAACTGACCAACTAATAGAGATTTTCTCTTTGAATGGGAGCATATCATTAAGGATCTGAAAATCATCTGCTTCTGACGCAATATGTTTGAATATTTATGGAATTTATTTTTTCAAAATCACCTTGAATCTCGGATGAGAGCAACCAGCGGTAGTTAAACATCCCTCCTTCCAATCCACTCGTAAAAGCTCGGTGGTCATCCAAAATGATTCCGCCAAAATTACAGGTAACATAGCCAGAAATAGCACCATCTGTAATACTGCCATTTTTATAACTAGCTATACTATTTGATGTTTATCAGGAAATGAAAAGTAAAATAAAGAACATTAATAGTTCAGGGATGCACCCTACAAAAGAGCGGGGAGATAGGTGGGACCTCCAGTTCTCCGCATCACCTCCCACATAATTATAGATGACGCAACGGGAGAAAAGCCAATCCGATTCATCATTCCAAATCGAAAGAGCCTAATTACTAATGAATCCAAGCTAGATAAGGAGAGTATGGATTATAAGCAGAGAAATGAATGATTGGGAATTGATTTTATGGAGATGTCCAGCTATAATTCATTTGAATTGAGATCTTACATGGGCCTTGAGGCGCCGTACCAGCTCCATAATCTTTTTTTTTACAAAAATGAAATTTCATTATGACTCTCAAAATGCGATGTATGAGGTTAGCATCATAATTTAAATATTCCCAGAAAAAGTCGTTGCTGTCAAACGACAACTGAAACAAAATGCGAGGAGCTCAAGAACATCCGACAATGACATCGAAATCGCAAATCTAGAGTACGCTCACTGTCAACACCTGAGATCTAATCTTGAGTCACGTACCTAGATGTGTATCGCCTACAATGCGTCAAACAAATGCATGGGTGTGAAATCAGATAGCTTTTAAGGTTTTGAGCCACAGAAAGTCTCGACGCTAACTATCAAGCATTATGACCAACATCGGTAGACAAAATGATAAGGTAGCGCACACGCCTGGATGATAATGGAAGTGAGGGGTAGAAAGCAAGCATAGCCCAAGAATGATGCCATTAGAGGGTTGTCGTTGTAACCTAACAGTTCTTGGATACAAGATATTGGTACAAGGTGATCCTGAGAAAATTGCCACCTCGCAGTTGTAATTGTTGGGAATGACAACATATTGGTACGAATTCTCGCCTGTAGGGTATACTCCCACTCTCTTACCCACCCACTTGTAGTCACAGAGGACATATAAACTACATGTTTTGTTATTCGTTTGGAATGCTGATATAAATGGAAGAAACTATAAATAATTATAGAGGTGATGATACTGGTGGATTAACGTAAACCATCAAATTACCATCCACTGTCACTCGACTACGAAACTCTACTTTTTTAAACATCTTTTTGAAGAATAAGAAAACCGTGTACACACAGAATCTAAAAATGGCAATGAACAAAAAAACCTCGAGAATTTTCTTTTCTATATTGTTTACGTGATTCTGGTGCAAACAGAAAGCTCTAGATCCGAATAGTTGCTCTTGTGAATAAACACACATCACTGAATGCACAGCTGATCCGCTTCTAGCTCCCTTAAAGGCAGCGTCCAGGCAGATCTGGGCCTATGGGATTTTACGTTGAAAGTACTTTTGGGGCCCTCACTGCCCAAGCGGCAGCGCAGGTACTGCTCTAACGGCTGAGATATTCCCCTCGACTGGACCCCGCGATCGTATTCGCATGGATTCATAGCAGTTTCGCGCCAGGATCCACTCTTTGCGCCATGAATTCATGCGAAATCGATCGCGGGATCCAGTTTCGAGGGGAATATCTCAGCGTTAGAGCACTCCCTGAGTTGCCGGTTGGGCAATGGCTTAGTTAGGGCCCCAAAATTGTTATCCAAGTGAGATCCCCATGTGTCCAGACTTGCCTAGACGCTACCTTTAAGAAAACAGAGAAAAAATTTCGAAATTTAACCATATCTCAAAAAAAACATTTTACAAGGAAAGCCCTTTCACTTGAAATGGGCTTTTCCTCCTATGTTGATTTGAACGGCATTCAGCGATGTTCCAAATTCTTTCCTTTTTTTGAGGCGACAACTTTCCCAAAAAAAAGTAATGAGCGTTCAAATGTCCAGATTTGTCAAGCTTCAAGAGATAACGAAAAGCCGTATAACAGCACCTATGCAGATTTCCACTGGCTGTGTCCCTCCCTTGTAGAGAATATGACTGACACAAAATTGATTCCAATTTTAGGTGTTTTATAAAGCTTTTCGCTAATTTTAGGCTACTCAAAGCATGATAATTGGGATATTCAAAAGATGCTCACAATTTTTTTCAGAGGGCTGTTCCTCGAAAGAGAAAAACTGATTGAAATCATCGTTTAATGCTCTTCAAAGGATCTAGGACATCTGGTAAGGATTCTTCGACTGAAGGGACCTCCCTTGTTAAAATGACTACCGTGGAAGCAGGGAAGCTTTACATAGCTGTGGGAATCGAAAAAAATTAATTTCTGAATGTTTTAGAAAAACCAATAGGCGCCAATGTGTCGCTATCAGGTCTCGATAACTATAGCCATATGGCTATAGTTATCGAGACCTGATAGCGACACATTGGCTCCTTTAGAACTGACGGCTACTCAGATGTCAAGAGAGGACTGGAGATGGAAATCATCGACCTGTGCTGGACACACTTCTACGCTAGTTACGCAAGAGACGAGTTGACGAATGCCTGATGTCGATCTCGAGCTAATGTGCGAAAGATATGAATCTACTCAACAGCTACGCTACTTATAGTCAGGATGGTCTGCAATGAAACTAGCAAGGGAAGCTTGTTTAGTGGAAGTGGCTTTTCAAAATGAGATGTATACCATACTGAAGCGCATAAAACGATGATTCCAAATCTGCCTTTCTTATCAGAGCTTTTATGGACCAAGAGTCAAAAATTTTGTGTTTGGGATGAAATGAGTTGCTAAAATCTTACTAGCCCTCAAATGATGCAACCGAGTGTGATATTTTTTCAATGTAAAGTATTTTTTTGAATAAAGTGCTCTGATGATTATCACTGCTCTAATGAAGAGCTAGAAAACGTATCACGGCTGTTACTGTCCTACTTGCACATTCAATTTTTTGCTCCAATAAGCGCTCGTAACTCCTCGTTCATAAACGCTCTACAGTTGAGGAAGGCAGATTTGGAATCAGCACTTTATGCCCTTCAATATGATGTAAATCCCTTCTAAAAAACCCAGTTCGACTGAACATGCATTCCTTGTGAGTATTTATTCATTTATTTATTTAGTGATCTAATTTTGATGCCAAAGAGCAAATACACTGAGAAGATCGGGAGGTTAACAGTGCGATGGGTTGAGAAGACTGTCTTCGACGGACATGATGTAGCGAACTTGGAGAAAAAGCGATAAGTTTCAAAAGACCTTTCAGATTGTTATCTGAAAAGTAGAGGCCTTGAAAAGCTGATGAATAGCGCTTGGTCTGGCGCCTAACAAATTTGCAAACATTGTTCTTGATCGCTACCGGAATCAGTGATGAATAAGAGATGGGAGGGTTCTGACTATTTCGCGCAGTCTACTGGTATTGTGAAAGGAGAAGGAAATTTCTAGGAAATCTTACTGTGTTTTAGTTTGCAGGAAAGAGCTTGGTTGCAGTGAGAAATGACTCTACCTTCGTTACTGATAGTTTAGAGCTCACTTGAATTCATAAAAGTAATCAACGAGGAAGTTGAGCGCAAAAAAACTTGTGTTTTATGTAAACTCAGCAGCCAGAAGGAGTAGTCACCTAGTGAGAACATGGTGGCCTCCCCGCGAGCAGTTGCTATCGTAAAGTAGCATAGATGCGTTCATAACCACTATCAAAGGCTGCGCAAGACTGAGGTTAAGGCTGTCTCGATTTGTTTTTCAGGCCAGTGTCCAGGCAAGAGCTATGCTCCTCCGATTATTAGCACCTCGTCTACAAGACGGACTCAAAAGTAGAACACCTGCGTTGGCCCGGTCCTTTACTGTGATCTCCGAGTAGACAAAATGGACCGAAACCCGCGAAATTGCACGCCACGCCCATCCTATCAAGCTCCGCCCAAGGACTGAATGCAGTCTGTCTTCAGGATCGGCTTCTAGAAATCAGGTTTTCTTGGAGGCATTTTGCTTATTTTGCACTTCATATCTTGGGTCCACAGAAAGGCTCCAGAAACAAAACATGGAAGACGAAGATTTGAGTAGATGCTGCCTCTAAGTGTATTATGGTGGTAGTTGAGAATTTTGACGATAACTTGTTTCACCATAACAATGATAAAGAAAATTTTTGGAGCTGAAGCAGTGGGAATAAGGACGAGAATGCCAAGATGGCTGTGTGGTAAGCGAGATCAGAAAACACTTGAGCTCTACATACAAATATGGCTATGGCTTCAAGGAGATACCGATTGTAACTGGTAGACTGGTAGCCAATGTAGAGACTATTGGTGAAATTCGAAATCCTTTCTGCGCGAAGAGCCATAGAAATTGAAAAGCCCATTCTGAGCCAAAGCTGATCACAAATTCTGCCATGGTGTGATTAACAATAATTACTGTATACTCATAGACTTTGGGAATAGCCAAAGCTTCGATTGGATTTTCATGCTCTATAAACGCAACTTTTCATTTGCTCAATTCACCAATCATTGAAGCTGTGTGGTTAGAAATGATCTCTTTAAAATGCACGTCTTATGACTGCAATCAGATGCGTAGAAATGGCCGAGCACGTCTAATAGAATGTAACTGAAAGAAAGAAAGAAGTTTATGAGGGTGCAAAGCTAAGCCTCCAAAGCTCAAAAATCAAAATGGCTTCATTACTCGAGAGCCTTAAAGGCACAGACCACCCAAATGGTGGCCTTGAGCTCTCGGCAGCTTACGATAGCGGGACCCTCTCTCAAGCAAATATCCAAGTCGCGGCTCGAAATGTCGTCTAGTCGAGAAAATTGCTTTGGAATAACGAAGAGGCATAAGGACCCCAAAATGGCACCGCCCCACTCCAGTAATGCCCACCCATTCGTGCGCGCCCATCCAATCACCGTTCTGGAAAACCGACTGCGGATTCTCCGAAACGGAGATTGCCAGGGTTTTCGCTGGTTTTCGACTTTATATCTGGAACCAGGTTCATGACAAGGCCCCAGAACGACCAAAACATGGAAGTCGAAAATCTAACTAGACGGTGCCTCTAAATAGGAAAATTAATTTTAATGAGCGTGGAGCGTGGTTATTTGACCATGAGCAAGTGCGTGCAGAAGACGCTATTACTCAA